ATCCAGCTATTTTGCAACATCCACATTCTAGTAAGATCACAGTTGTCAGTAAGTTAGCACATAATTTGAGACCTTGGAAATACAGGTGTATCACCACCCATTTTTCCTTTATCTATTAATTAGAAGCTAAACACTTAAATCAGGAAATTCTTATTTACAAATAGTTCAACATGCAATGGCATTGTAACTTCTGCCTATCAATTATTTTTTAACGAGTTGAGGCATACACTGTAGTTCTCTATATCTCTGCTCCTTGGAGAAACGGTGCACATTCACCACATTCTAAAGAAATGGATTTCACTTAGGCGTAGGTAACCTGTTTAAAATATCAATTGTATATGCTCCACGGGCTTTGGCCTCAACTTAGCTAGACAAATTTATACTGGAACAGTCTTCATTTTCCTGAAACTCGCTTAAAACTTTAAAGTTCATTATGTGCGTATTCGGTTGTTGCCCTTATATCCTCTTCGTGGAACTCCGCACACGATTCTTTGGGATGGTATTTGGATGAGCAGTCGTGGTCCTCGACCGCGGCGTTGTACAGTTTCCAGAAAGGTGTCTCGTTGTTGCCGGATATGAACCAAGCAGCAACCATGCTAGATTGTGAGAGAAACATAATTAGTAAGAGTTTGGCTACGACAAAGTGCGACGAAGGAGGCCAAGAAACGTAGGGAGAGGCACTTACCTCGATAGCTTGGTGACGCCCGGCTTGATGCCGGCCGGGGCGAGGACGCCCTGGGTCCCCGCCACCGACCCGCCCTCCGGCTCCTGCTTGTTCACGACGCACAGCACGTAGGCGGCGCACTGGGGGACCTTGGTGGAGTATCGGTACGCCCGCCAGACGCGCAGCACGGGCTCCACCACCTCGCCGTTGATGGTGTCGGACAGTCTGGACTCGATGTCTGACGAGGAGAGGGCGGCTATGCTGAGCCCCTTGCTCTGTCCCAGCTGGAGGACCTCCTGGATCACAAAAAAAGGCGTAAGTAAAAGTCGTACGCGAGGCAGTACTTTTACGGCTGTCCCGTGCTTTTTGTTGACCTCACTACCGCATTCAGGCGTCTAGGCCTGGGCGCCTGGGCCGGTTGCCTCCTTGCCCGGCGCCGTAAGGCACGGCGACGGTGGGCATGCCCGCAAGCCCACAGTATGACCAAAAGAAAAGTACGGGGCCCGATGTCGGACACTCTATAAACCGGGGGCTATTGGGCACTGGTCGCGGGTGACATTTCGTACCTGGATGTACGCGACCGCTGGTTTAATGTAAGTTGCCGAGTTGACTTTGAGGCCGAAGTGCCTTTTGAAGACCGCGTTGGCGAGCATCGACAAGGACTCGGCGGGCCGTGCAGGGTCAAAGTGCGTCGCCTTCGGGTAACCCTGGGCCTTGAGGAAGTTGTTGCCGACGAACTGGGCAGTAGCTAAATATCTGTAGGCAAACAAATCATAATAAAACATTTATGAGACCCCTAGTAAAGATTTAGTGAATTTTTCGCATTCTCCGCTTTAGTATGTATATTTAGCTCAGTAAGCTGTCCAAGACATTCACGTTTTGTGGGCGTTCCCTTTCCGCTACAACCCATCGAGCTCAACGTCTCGCTAGACGCCTCTGAACAATGAGGGCCGGTGGTGTTGGTACAGGGAAGTCCGTCGTACGCCAGGCCACGCCGCCGCCGCGCCCCCCGCGCCCCCGGCCGCCGTTCTGCGTGCGGCGAGTGGTCAACCAACCCTGTTCTTATTTTTTGGGAACTCCTCCAGAGCGTGCGTGGAGTGGAGCTTTCCACTCGAGTAGTTTGTCGGGTGTGCTCGCGGCTTTGCGGCGCAACGGGAGCGGCAAAAGGAGCCCGGCGTGATTATTTGACGTTTGGGGTCGTTGTCATCCCGTCCTCCTGCCCGCTCCGCTCAGCCTCCTTCGCGACCACATGGCGCGCGGCGGCGCGGCGCGTGAGGGGGGAAGGGGACAATTCAATTATGCAGCCCCGGTGAGCTATGAGTACCGTTGTGTCACGCTGCGCTAAGCTGCGCTAAGCTACCGACTCGGCAGGAGCTGCAGGGGGTGGTGGGGGAGGTGGGGGAGGCGGCGCAGCGCCGGGAGTGGGAATAAAAACGATAATTGCGAAGGATGGGCTTTAAACGCGACATCTTCGAGGCGGCGGAGAATCGTGATAGCCGAGAGAGCAGTGGCTGGGGGCTGGGGTGCGCGAGGGGGTGAGGGTGAGGTGGCGCTAAACGCACACGGGATGTACGAGGTCCGCTCCCCCTTTCCCCTCGCCGTGCGAGCGACGCGGCGCCGGCCTAGGTTGAGTGACCTGCGCCTCCTGCCTGTGAGCCCCCCTCCCGAAGAAGCAGCGGATGTTGTCGAGCCAAGTCGACGCGTTCAGGACGCGTGCAGACGCGCGCGGACGGAGGCGCTGCCTCGCGTGACCGGCGCGGCGCGGCTCCTGGAGGGAAGTCCACACAAGTCCCCTTCGCAACAAGCGTGTCGCAGTGCGGCCGAAAATAGTCCTACCTCCCCCCTCTCTACCCGTTCTGCTCTCCTCCTCTTCTACTTGTCGTGGTTGTGGTGGACGCGGGGCGGACGACAATCTTGTCGATCCATCCTAATTAGGAAGACCAGAGCCAATAACCTCCCCGCAAGATGCCTGCCGAGCCAGTCACCTTTGCGCCGCCAGCCCCCCCC